CACAGTCGCAGGGCGTCACTCCAATCCAGTCGACAAGTCCATGTTCAACCAAGCGGACAACGTCAGTTCATCTGTTTCCGTTTGGAGTCCTTGCGTCTCGCTAAGACGGGCATGCCTCAACGTGCGCACTTTGCTACAGATTGGCCAACAAGCAGCACTTGCCTGCACACTAGAGGCCCTATCGACAGATATTTGCTGTTTATCAGAAACCCTCCTGCAAGATTCGAGTTCGGTGCTCACCCTGCGGTACCCCACATGCGACACTGGCGGCACATTCTCATTACGCCTGTCTGGTGATGATGCATCTTCAAATGCCGGTCAAGCTGGCGTCGGCATTGTTTTGAGTCCCCGAACTGAAGCTGCCTTGATCGATCGGATCCCAGTAAACAGTAGGATGTGCGCCGTTAGATTACCCGGTTCGTTCCGTGCTACGAATTCGCGCGGGAACAAACGGTGCCTGTTTGTCATTGCGGCTTACGCCCCTACAAACTGTAGCACTGATTCAGTGAAAGATGATTTCTATCAGCAACGTCACTACAGAAGAAGCACGGACACTGTGGTGTTGGCGCGTGATCAAAACATTCAAGTCGTAAAATTGTCCACTGATGAGCTTCATTTGGGCGGACATCATGGTGCAGGCTCCCGTAATCTTAACGGTGAGCGATTGCTACAACTAGGTAAAATTGCGCACCCCTTTCTCGCGAGTACTAACTTTCGACACAGCACCCGCAGAATCGTGACTTGGCGGCTACCAGCCTTGGACCAGCGATAGACGCAAATCGTCCATATCGTGATCAGTTACCGCTCGAGAGGCTGTGTCCAAAGCGGTCGCTCGATTTGCAGAACGAGCGTGGACTCTGATAACGCTCTTGTCTGCGCCGACCTCCGACTGCGTTCCGGTGGACATACGCAACGTCGAGGTGAACGAACTGACACCAACCAGCTGGCGAAGCCAGGTGTTCGGAATGTGTATCAAAGTGCGCTGACATCTGGGCTCAGTAAGCGCCCCATAAACTCCGTCGAAGATCACTGGTCGCATATTCGTCAAACGTTACTATCAGCAAACATGTCTTCTTGTGGCAAAGCGAATTGCCAAACCGGACATTGGCTCTCTACACAGTCTCTGGAACTTATGGATGCTCGCTGACTATTCCGGCTGAAAGCGAATACAAAGAGGCTCACAAAAATCTCAGGGCAAAACTACGTGCTAGCCTGGAGAAAGACAGCGAAACCTGGTGGTCTCATCGTGCCTCTGAGATGGAAACAGCCGTTACCATTAGCAACCATCGTAAGTTATTCCGTCTGATACGGGAAACAGGCAGCAGAAGACTTGGTGTTAGCGAGACCATACGCGACGAGAGTGGGCAGCCGATCCACAGCCTGTCAAAACGCTTGGAGCGTTCGGCTGAACACTTTGCAAGGTAATTTAACCAATCTGCCTTATCGCGTTCTTTTTCGGGCATTGAGCGCCCTTCTCCCGGGGCCGTCTCCTTGGATTCGCCCTCACGCACAGAAGTCAAACGTGAGACCAGGCTGTTGAAATTGCATAAGGCCGCTGGGGCAGATAGCATCCCCTCAGTCCGCTTCAAATTAGGGGAACCTGCTCTAGTAAATGATTTACACGACTTGCTAGTGTAAGATTGGGAGCAGGAGACTGTCCCGACAAGTTGGATCCGCTGAGGCTTCGTCCCAATTTTCAGGAGAGGCTCCCGTTCGGAATGCAACAATCAAAGCGGAATCAGTCCGATCCTTATTACCTCTAAATTGCTTGCGTCTGCCATTCTCTCCAGACTGACTGGCACTCGTGAAAGCCAGGTTAGTGAAGAGCAATCCGGGTTTCGTCGAGATCGGGACTGTACCGACCACATGTTCACCTTGAGTCAATTGTTGGAGCTTCGCCATGTTTACTGGCGACCCACCCTTGTCGTGTTTCTTGACATAAAAGATGCCTTGGATTCAGTCGATCGATGTGCCGTTTGAGACTGTCTGCTAAGGAAAACTGTACCTGATAAATACCTAAACATCATCAGCGCGTTGTACGCACGTAGTTTGGGCAGAGTGAAGGTCTATAGCACTGTCACCACACTTCAGGATCACCAGCGGTGTGAGAAAATGTTGTACGCTGTCACCTTTCCTATTTAACTTCGCACTTGACGAAATCATTGAAACTGCGTTCGCTGGACATGACCTAGAAGTTATGGCGCTACTTCCAGTTGAGCGACTTCTTGACTTAGAGTACGCGGACGATATTGCCCTAATCTGTGACAGCTCCCAAATATGTCAAGCAGTACTGGACCGATTAGCACTGGCTATCGTTTAGGGCTATGCTTTGCTCCACGGAAATGTAAAGTAATTCTCCGAGATTGGCAGGGACCCAGTCCTCCGCTAACGCCTGGTGGTGATCAGCTAGAAGTCGTTCAGGAATTCAAGTACCTGGGCAGTTACATTAGCAACCATGGGATCGTACTGAGATTATGAACCGTATATCAAAAGCTCGAGGTGCTTTTGCCAATCTCCGCCACCTGTGGCGCAGATGCGACATTACTCTCACCCTCAAGGGCAGAGTTTACAACGCAGCTGTCCGGTCAACTCTCCTATATGGCTTTGAAACCTGGCCCATCAGGTCGACAGACATGAAGAGGCTCGTCACATTCGATCATCGTTGCCTTCGCAGTTTAGCTCATTTCTGGTGGGAACACCGCGTGAGCAATGAGCATGTTCGACGTCGCGTATTTGGTGCAGGAAGAGCGAGTGAATCGCACAGCACCATTATATCACGCACCAGGCTCCGATGGCTGGGCCACGTGTTGCGCATGGCAGCACACCGAATTCCGCGACGTGCATTGTTTGCGCGTTGTGGGTGCGGTTGGAAGAGGAGGAGGGGAGGCCAAGCGATGACTTGGTCGAGAGAAATGAACACCCTCACTTCGAAGTTGGCGTCGGTTGGTGCATCCCGACTGCCTGGCTGGGGTCCTAAGGACGGTGAACACGTTTGGTTGGACACACTTGCTGATATGGCTTGGAGCCGGCCCCAATGGCGTTTGTGTTGTGAGTTCCTTTGTCCATCCCCCTCCTGTTTAACATCCCCCTCCAATCAGGATCTCATTTGTTAGGCATAATACGACTCTCTTTTACAGCAGCCAGCTGTTAGCTCTTCGGAACGATGTCCATCCGTTACTGGGGACTCAGCCGGAGTGCCACTGTTTGTTTTCCTTTTCTTGTCTCTTTTATTGCGGCACAATAGCTGAGGTGTATTCCACCTGCAGCTAACGTATAATGATGAGGATTGAGAACGAAACAAGAGGAAATGAACTGCGTGGAAACTTTAGTACGGTACAACGCAGACAAATGAAGCCATCGCGTCACGCTTCATTAGAGTGTTGTGCGACTTCTGGATTGTGAGCCAAATATCTAGCATTTGTGCACAGAAGGATGAAAAGTTGTACGATACTTTGTTAAGGGAGTGGATTTTGTGAATGGGTCCGTGGTGACTAGCATCTTCATGCCTCGCATGTAAGTAAGTTAGCCCCGGTATTGGTTCACCGCTGCTAGTCATGTTCCCACGTAATGTGCGGATTCACCTTGTCTTCCATTCGTTTTAAGCAACCAAGATGTAGTCTAGGATGTTGAACAGGCGAATGTATTTTTACGAACAAAGTAACTTTACAAGGAACAGGACTCATCTATCACTAGTTACCAACTGTCTATCTTTGCATTGTTTATCTACATTACCGCTTGACGAACATAAAACATGTGAACTATGCCGGAATGCATGATATTCAGATTATCGAAAAGCCAAATGCAGTGTAGAATGGCATACAATCCAAAAGCTGCAACTATTCGCTAGACGCCCTGATCAACATTAACCAAAATAACTATCTTATTGATCACTTTAGGAGGCTACAAGCGCAAGGTAAATGCCTTATGAAAAACAGTTATGCAAGTATGCATTGTCAACACATGCAGAATCTACATGTGGTTACTAAGGTGTTGATGACTGAAGCTAGACTGAGGGAGAAAAGGCCTTGAAAGCAGTTCCAAAATCTACAAATGCTGTCTTAGAGAGAAATGGTTAAATGGAATGTATGGCTGGGCACTCTATTATAAGCAAACTGCGTGCCAATACGTAGATGGTTTGCACACACAAATCTTACTAACTTGGGCAGCAAAGCCTACGAAATTTGGACGATGGATGCATCAGTGTATCAGTGTCAGCTTACCAATGCATCAGCACACAGACCTATTGACGGTTAACCGAAAACCAGACTCTGTACCCAAACGTGACTACTATTTACGTAAACAGCAACGCGGATTAAAAACTGAGTAACTTCGTTCTTAATGTGCGAGAAACTAGTTTGTGATGGCAATGTAAGCTTCGAGTGCTCACGGTCTACCAAGTGTATCGCAGATGATTAAAAGTAACTATCGAGTTGTTGAAGGGGTACGTTAGAAACGGTGGGCAGTTAAAAATCCCAAAGAGCAGTTAGTCACTGACTGCGAAATGGGCTAGCACAGGTGTCGTTCATAGCTTACATTCGAAAAAATGAAAAAAGTCATGGCTTTTGGTGTAAATGATAATCTATTTCATGATTCCAAATTGTCTCCAACTTTGCGATGCGGTTCTAGACGTACTATTACCTAAATAGGTTAGATCATAAGTTTAGTTAATGAGGAATTTGCTCTGGGTATTTACTTCACCGTCGTAAGTAATCTTTCACAAATAAACTGTTGACCTTGAAGAGGAGCCATTCATTATCCTCGCTGTTCCGATTTAGAGTATCTAGGAATACTACCATGTACAACTTTCCTGTAGGTATTTACTAACGCCTAATGTTCGCCCTCAGAAGTAGGGAGTAGGAAAACTTTGGTATACTTGTATAATATTCAAGAAACAATCGCCTACCAAGCAAAACTCAGAGTAGGTTACTAACAGATTTTTACGCATTCTTCAAATCAATTCGCCAAAATTTATAAAAGGTAGGGAAAAGGTACCGACTTACTATGAACGACATCGGTCCTGACAATTTGTAAATTACATTAGTCAGATGAATGATATAGAAAAAGAAGGAGACAATGAACGTAAGAATAGCGACGAAGAGAATCCATCCGGCAGGACCATCTCGGTAGGTAGCAGTAGCGGCCACTAGAATGATTATTATTATATCCAAGATCGCTTCAATCAGCTTCAGAACAGCTGGTATAGTCGACGCGTAGGAGGAATTCACACCCATCACTGAATCGCTTCAACCGTGTTGTTGGGGCACCATACGTAGAGCGAATGAGAAGGAATTCACTTTTTTCAGGTAACAATGCGATTATTGCTAGAACCGGGGTGATCTGCAATAAATAGGATTGGGGTGAAATTCTGGCATTATTGGACAAAAGTACGTTGATGAGCGCCAATTTGAACTGTCATCATTGATTCGAATTATCACGTGCAAAAGTAGTAACGATGAATTTACCTATTCACTGCAGTGGTGTAAATACTACATTTTAACATAAATTTAAACATCGCGTCGATCAAGTCACTGGTTTGGAGGTACTTGAACTCAACAGCCTGCTTCACAAAATAGGTGTCAATTTGCGTTCAGTGTAAGTGCAGAGTTATCATGTGAGCACACAAGTGTAAAGGAATTGCACGCAATCTGTACAATGTTAATTGCACGCAAGGGTTGAACATAAGGGAACATGCATGTATCATTATTCGACCCAATCACTAGGGGGCGCACAGATGAGGCAAAAGATGGAAGCATTAGTAAAGTGTGCTAATATATATAACAACTGGGCTGAAAATTAACAACAATAAAATAGCGAACAGTTTCGGTACTGAGAGCAGTGGAACCCAACACATAGTGGCTAAATACTTACTAGTGAGTAGCGCGTAACACAGCGATAGGTAGTTCAAAGTTGGGTCGCGATCTAGACAAACGGTGGGTACTCTCTGACTCAATAATGCATCTTACAATCTATGTTAATAACACTGGAGAATAGCGGATAAATGTTTTAAAATTAAACATCACTGACTGGAATTAAACTGATTGTATGCTGATCATAGTGATCACACTACCTGGGTGTAAAAAGTTTGAAGAAGAATGGGACAGTGCGTTATCCGAATCAGCATATATTGTTTTCGCTCACTCTACATTCCCGAATTTATCAACAGGAAACAACCACTCCAGCAGAATATTACGGATGCGTTGGAGTCTTACAAAGTCATTTTCGACGAAATTTAACACAGGGGACTTTTCCAAGTGGCTCAACTTTATTACGCTCACAGCCACAGTGAAGGTACATTCGGATAGGCAAATTTTTGTTTGCTAGGCACCCAGAGGGAGGTGTTAACACGTACAGATTTGCTCCGTCTGCTCTTGGCTTAGTGTTAGGCAATCGGAGCCTAGCATGAAAAGCAGTTTGTTTATCTCAACCGCCAAAACACAGTGATGTCGATTCGTCTCCATTTACTCAGCAAAAACGATCACATTTGGGGGCATACGCTACGCTGCAAGCATAGATAAACAGAACGTAACCTAGTAACTGCGCTATCCAGCGCGGCTTAGATAAGAAGTCATTCACCACCGTGCATTTGGTCATAAGCATGGGAGCTACTCTAAGGCCATATCTATATAGAATATTGAAGCGACAAGATTGGGTTCGGGATAGTCCGTCGTTCTAAAGCATTAAATCATGCCGTGTTAACTCTCAGTAGCTGACGCAAGGTTTGTGTTCGATGTACATTTAAAGAAGGTTTTCTTCGTTTTAGTTGAAACAAGCAGAGACTGAAACGCTTAAACTGAAACGTTTAAACCATATGTACTCTCCCATAAGCAACCGGGTGATTCACTCAGATTGCTTTCGGTGGTTGCAATGTATGTACAGTAATCATTTAAGTGAAAACACAGTTACCTATAAGATTCACCACTATTGAACCTCTGAGATTTACACACAAACAGTACTGTTGAAGAGAGAACGAGGTGGCAGAAAAGCTAACAAATAACTTGCTATCAGGCTCGCACACACGCGCGCATGTTGAGAAGAAATTTCCATCACAGAACGCACCAGACATTGTCTTCTCGCTCACCATCACATTTATGTCCCGATTACAGCCAATCCACCAAGTCTCCTTTACTGCTCTGCCCTCGCATCTTCGCTACCGCTCGTCGTATTCTGACTGGCTTGAATTCAATCTAATACACTTGACTTGCTCAATCGGTGTTCCATTGCTCTCCAAGGGGCTAGTCCCGAAAGCGTTACTATAGAGGCACCATTACAGAAAATCGGGCTATCACCACTATTTTACTCGCTTTTCTCGGTATGGGCCCGTTATCATTTGTCGCGCGTGATCCATTCCCGGCTTGTTCCATAGACCTCCGGATGTTTTGCCAACCCGTCTTTGGTGTCGCGTTGGTTCCCCTGTTCTTTAGTTTCCGTGGCTCTCCAATCTCGCCTGTGACTTTTGTCCTTTCTGTTGCTTCACCATTATACTAGGTTCATAGTAGTTATTTAGTAAACACTGCTCGGTGCCGACAGTAAGCGACACACAGGTGATCATAGACTAGGATTCAATCAAGCGTGCTACTGTCCACAGAATAATGAACGTGTTTTTGTTCCGCTACTACTTGATTGGCATGTATGCCACATCGACAAAGCTCACGGAATATAGACATTGTCAATGGACTCCGAGCCGAATTAGTCAACTTTTCACAAACCATTAGTCATGTAGGCATGCTTCAGAGGGACAGCAAAGTGACTGTTCGCATCTCTTACTGTTCTCACATAGACTGCGAATGTTTGTGACAAGGTTGAGAAAAGGCACCAAAACGTTGAAGAATTGCGTGCGCCTCCGGTCGCCAGGGCTGAAGAATCCAGAGTAGAATCAGACAGGAAAACGGGAGATGCAAATTGTTAAGGAAGAAAGACAGCGCTAGTGGAAGAAGGAATTGTGGATGTATACTGCATACTGCTTCCAGAGAACAGTCACTTTTGTGTTTGGGATTGGTTACACATCGCTGTTAATTAAGCCAAGTGATCACTTGTCAAATTGGTTTCGTCCCAGTCTGAAGCTTAATGACGGGATATACAAAGCATCGAGCAGCCTATGTAATTTGGGAAACTGACTAGATGCTCTTAAACCCGTGCGAAACCAGTTGCAAAGCAACTTTAAAATGTTAATAAAAGGAAGTGCGTTTTGGCCTGCATCAAATGTTAGGGCACAACCACAAGCAAACACTTATGGAATTAGGCGAAACTGTAACCTTTTGGTTAAGAGTAGTCCAGTTAGAGGTAGACAATAAACTATGATTTTATACGAGTTAAAAAGCATTGCTTCACAAGCGCAGTTGGATGGCCCGGTGTAGTTATCATTACCATCATCATAAATACCCCGTAGAAGGGAGTGAGAAACACACCTCGACTAATGTGTCGCAATACAAAAAGATAAGCGATTACACATTACAGACTATAAAATGCAAAAAACTAAGCTAATGCTAAAATCACATTATGCATTGGGTCGTGATCGTTGTTCGAAGGGGAATAGAAAAGGGAGGGGAGGGACAAAGAGACTTACAACCCAGACGCCATTGAAATCGGCTCCACACTACTCGTAGTTGAGGAAACGTTGTCAAAAAGCCAGTAAATATTTTCACATAGGACTTTTGTATCAGAAATTAAAATCCTCAAGAAAGAATAGCATTTCTCCAAGATAAGCTGGATTCGGCTTATAATAGTTACTGATAGAAGCAAGATCTCTCAATTCGTTTGTGTGCGACGCAGTAGTCATGCTCTCTATGTAGTTTCATAACACGAACAGAGCACGGATAGTAAATCGGTTTTTCCACGAGTCTAACAGAATGAGTTTGCTAATTGATGCAGTTCCGTTGCGTCAGCCAGTCGTTCGTTAAATTTGCCTACGGTAACAACAGGAGCAACTGATTCAGGGCGCACGTCTCATGCATGACATGCCCAAACTGGAAAGAAATTTTGCGACATTCCAGGTTATTGAACTATTCTGCCAGTTCCAAGGAAGGAACACTCAAGTTAGTGTTACCACTGAGCTGCAGTTAAGAGCGACACACCTGTTGTACATCATGCAGGCTCTTGTAAGTTGTTAACAGATTGCGTATTACGCAAAGCTGCCGATCGCTGAATTCTCCCAAGCCTTTCTACAGCTGTTCTTTTGGTAGACTGCACCTTCCAATGATGTGCTTGAAGGTCCGACTTTGAGGATACTCCAGAACAGCCAGATCGTATATCAGACATGACTCTCATGCTGGAACTGCATTTTCCAAGGGAAGACGAACATCTGCGCCTATCATCTACAGGAAAATAAGAATCACCGTGTCCCAGCGCCTGCCTTAACAGCTTGACGCGTTGGTTTTCAGCCTTGTGAATACTTTGGAATAAGCGAAATCATCTTGAACCAGTACTCCTACGTCACTTTTGACCGAAGAGCGCCTCAGTACATTCTTTTCAAGCCTAGGAGTTGGTGTTTCTATGTCGTATGGAAACTACCTTGTATTAGTTTATACTGAACAGCATCAGATCTAGGGTTAGCCACCGATGAACCAAATACAGTTGTCGGTGGAGCGAATCGCGATTGGCACCTTCCAGATTCCTTCTTCATATGCTGATGTCGTCAGAAAAACCTGAAGGATTTGAAGCGGTAATCTGCACGATGTCATTGATGAATTCCACAAACAAACGTAATGCTGGAATTGAGCCATGAAGCATACCACACTCGATTTGTGTTGGGTTAGATAAAGTGATCCAAACTTGCCTGACGAAATGTTGTCGGAGGAGGCGGTCATCGGCTCCGTAATACTGGAGCACAGAATGGAGAATCCGGTGATCTAGACTCACAAACGCTTTTGAATAATCTAGATAGATCACATTAACTTGCACTCCAGCGTCTGCTGATTCCATCCACATGTAAGTGGTAAATTCGTGGTGCACGATCGCTGTAAATTGAATCCGTGCTACACGGGAGCAGATATCTTGCGTTATTTTAGATTGGTAATTGATGCTTCTGCAAAAATGGATGCTATGACTTTGGACACCAGTTAAAGAAAAAAACCCGCGAGATAATTTGAAATTTCAGTCCTGTCTCCGTTCTTGTGGATTGGTGGTTTATTCCTAGTCTCCATAGGGTGGAAAGCTGACTTCAATTTATGAAGTACAGAACGAAATGATTAAAAGGCTTCTGTACTTTCTATGCGGCTGGCTCCGGTGCTTTTGGGCGAATAACATCGAGTTCACGGAGCTGTGGTTGTGTAGAAGTTACCTACTGCGATAAGTTTTTAACGGTACAAGAAACGCAGATGAGCCATGGAGGCGGGTAACAAACGTT